TCCAGCCGACACTTCAGCTCTGCCGCCGGCCACCCCGGACCAGAGCCGGAGCTCAGCCATACCGCCGCAAAAGTGCTCTTCTATTGAAAGCAAAAAATAAATTACTGCAGACATCTGTTTTGGGCAGAGGGTCTGTTCACCGGGTTTCAGCCCAGGGGGGAGCGAGCTGCGCGCCTTGAGCACGATGATTTACTGAAGAAACACAGGGCCCTTCACCGCAATGGCACCAGCGATGCCGCTGTCATACATGAAAGACTTTATTAACTCACAGCTGCCTTTGCAGCCAAGACATGGGGTTTAGACTGGGTGAATTTACTGCTTAGCAGTAAAATATCAACCCGGTTTATAACTGTGACTTCTCCATTAAGGGCAGTTGGAACAAAAAGCCTAACTGGTTTTAACATGGAATTTGATAAGTTTATGGGGGGGATTATGTGATGCAACTACCGGATACAGCAAGGGGCTGGGGGAGGCATGGAAGAGAAACCGTGAGATTCAGTCTGAATACAGAAGGCTTTCCTTCTTTCTTAAAAGAGAAGGCAGCCCACAAACAAGCTGCTGGAATACCAAATGATCACACGCTCCATGGCTGACAAGGCTCGAGAGCCACAGGATGCGTCCTTGGGCAGCCGCTCCAGTCCCGTCAGGGTGTTTACCTCCACTGGCACAGTAAAAAGGCACGAAGGGAATAATTATCTTTTTTTCCACATCACTGTTTAATCCTTTGTTGAAATTGGCCTCACGTTCACGTACTATATATTTGTGATTACGGCATCTAATGGGGATTCATTGCAGAGGAGTCTCACCTGCTGCTCGAGTATCGCCATCAGTAAGCAATGCTTTGGGGAACCTCACTCAAAAACTGTGCCCCGGCTTCTGACTTGCCGGCCTGTGTTGTTAAGGAGCTCTGACTTCCAGAAGCGGGACTGGGAAGGGGCAGTTCTGCCCGGTAAGCGGCCCAGGACATGCCCGCAGGGTGCTCTGGCAAAGCTGCTTGGTGCTGTTACACGTGCACGGATCAACAGGAGCCAGAGCGCGGGAGCCAGATGTGAGTCTGCTTCACCAATCACCAACGGTGCTACCAGCCAGGTTCGTATCTGCGGGGCATTGCCCTAACTATCAGTGATAAAATCAACGGAAAGCCTGTTCGGAAGGTATTTGGTGTTCTTAACAATGTTAGCTATAAAAATTATCTTTCATTTTATCATTGAAAAAATGAACACATAGTGTCACGTTACGCTTTAAATAGTTTTTATAAAAACAAATCTAAGGACAGATCTCCAACTTGTGGCTTCAAGCTCTCCTTTCTCTGCCACGCGCACGTGCCGCTAAATTAACTCTTACCTGAATGAAGTTCCTTCACCAGCGACGACATGGTGTTGGTGATGGAATCGGCTGCTACCAGCAGGTCGTTGCGGAGGTTCCTCCTCGTACCTGGGAGCAGAGCAGACACTCAAACAGGAGGAATTGCACTTGCCACGCTGACGCTGCCCAACCTCCTCGCGCTGTGATGCTCGGCCACGCGTCCCTCCCTGGTCCCCCTGCCAGGGTCCCCACCCCTCGGGACAGAGCTTGGACACCCCGGCATTCGGCAGGGCTCCCTCAAAGCATCTCGGCTTAGCGAGAGATGGTGATTTGCTCTGCAACAGCCCAGTTCTGCTTGGCTGCCTGATTGCCTGTTTGGCTAATTAGCCCCCACACCGCTCCTCTCCTTGACAAGGACAGCGCTGGTTCGGGAGCTCAAGGGCAGATGCTTCTCTCCCCATGATGGGCGCTGCCGTGGCGCAGCTCATCCATGCTCTTTGTTTGGGCAGCATCGTTATCGCTGCCGGCTTCTCTGCTGCAATTGATATCGCTGAGGTTTGAGCGGAATGAAAGATAACTGAATTCTCACCCTCTGCAGAGCTCTGCTCTTGCATCGCTGGAGGAAGCGACCCTGTTCCTCGGTGTGCCGCACGGCCGGGGCAACGGCACTTTGCTGTCCCCCCCCAGTGACACTGACCTGCCTAGTGCTAGTCTGGACACCCGTCTGGTGTGAGCCTCTGCTCCAGGGACCCGCTCACCCCATCGACAACCTGAACATCTCCCACGGCTCTGCAAGAACGGCTAGGGCCAGCAAGGGCCACAATCTGCAAAGGAACCGTCAGAGTGGCTGCTGCCCATCAAAGAGATGGGCGAGGGCAGCAGGAGCTGCTGCGTGTCGGGGATGATGCCTGTTGCCTCTTGCTGATGCTGGGAAGACAATGATCTTCTCCACCATCTATTCCGGTTCCCCGTGCCGGTCCCTCCGGCATATTCTCACAGCCAGCCATATTCTCACAGCGGAGCGTCCTGCCGACCGCAGCCCGACTCTGCAGTGCCCCAGAGCCTGCAGATGCTGCGGATCTGACCCCCCGTCCTCGCCGAGCCTCCTTTCCTCTGCCACCTTTTTGCACTGCACTATTTTGGTTTTATTTGGAGGCTTTGACGGTGTGGGGTCATGTTTTTTGCCCCGGCAGGTGGTCTGTAGCTACAGTTTCTCAGGTTGCGGAGTCGATGGCCCCGAGCTGAAGCTTTGCGGGGAGCGAGTCCCTGTAACGGTTCATTGGCCCCATCTCAGCTGTTCCCGTGCTTTAACTGCTCACAGAAAATGGCTTTAGGCGGTCTCTCATCCCACACAGGCACCAGATGTCGGCACCGGCGCAGCCTCCAGGAGCCCCGCTTTGATGCCGAGTGTCTGACAGTGCTCTAAGATCTCGGCGTTTGGGATCCCGTCCTGCCATTGACTCCAGCGAGGGCAGAAGACAACACATGTGGAATCGCCGGAGACATTTGATGTGACATTTCGCAGCTGTGCTGAACTGCAGTAATGACAACTGTACATTACACGTTTACTTTTGTTTGAAGTCGGGTGTCTCTTTCATTCCAGACGTGCTGCTTTAATCTCCCAAATGCTGCGCTGGCTTTTACTCCGTCCTTGGCCGGGGTGCTGTCAGAGCGCCTGCTCCTGCGTTTTGCCTATGGATTTCAGTGCTCTTTGAGCGCTGCCAGAGCACGCTACCGAGCTGACGTGCTTTCCGTCAGCATCTTTTTCCTCCAGCTTAGGTTGCCAACCGACCAGCATCAGGCCCAGTGTGCAATTCCCGGGAAAAGATGCAGATTTTGGCCAACAAGTCTGGGACCTGGGACTTAGGGGACTCCTCTGCACCTTTATCCAGGTCTGTCGATGTCCTGAGTCCTGTCACTGCACGGGACAGTGAAACACAGCCACTGCCCAGCCCGGCCTTCCTTGTGGGAGTGAAAGGTTGTAAAATTCCAGCCGGTCTCCCCTGTGACACAGATGAATAATGTTAAGGAGCTCATCTGGACAGCTACGTGCAGAAGCCACCCAAAGCCCTCCTGGCTGGTGGCATTCAATTATTTTATTATGTGAAAACAATAGAAATTTTATCCTGTTTCCTGTGTTCTCCACTTGCCTTGAATTTGCCCGATTTTGCATGATTAATAAGAAATAGCACTAATTGTGCAGATTGCCTTTCCGGAAGGATCATTCCAGGAAACTTATTATGGAGTCTGTTGACCATTTGCTTCTTGCAAGAGTTTTTCTCGTAGCTGAATAAGCCACCGCTGTGGTTATCACGAGAGGAACTTCCACCCTTCTGCTGCCAGCGCTGGATCGTACTTGCATCTGAGAAATCCTGAGGGACTATTTTCTTCTCTTTCGAGATGAGAAACAGCAGTATTAGTTTTCTAATTAGATGGTGGGCTCTGTATCTGAATATTTCGGCCGGAATACCATCAGGGCATTTTATTCTAATCCTGTATTACTGCCTTCTCCCTCTGGCCAAGTGGAAGATCAAGAAGGAGAGCATCTATGGAAGAGACCGATCTAATCTTAAAACTATATGATCAAGATCACTGGGATTCAATTCTTTAAAGGTTTCCTTCTCCAGACCTTCCCACATGGATGGGGAAGCTCGCAGAAGACCTGTGCCTGGGAGGTTGGCATCCCTGCCCGCTCCCAGGGCACGGCAGCACGAGGTGGGACAGCACCGAGATCGTCACTCCCTTTTCCTCCTCTCTTCCACTGTGACATTTTATAAGAAGCTGGTGGATATGCAAAAGTTAGTAAAAATAATTTAAATGTTTTTGGTAACCCCCCCCTACAAAATAAGCGTACTGCAGGCATCGCCTCTGGAGTTTTTGCTTCTGGGGAGTCGTCACCACCACCAACACCAAGCTGTTGTGATGCAGCTGCTGCGCAAGTCCTTAGCCCAGCCTTGAATAGTTTTGTACAACACCTGGTTCATCGCAACAGATATCTGAGATGCTGTCAGGTGTTAAAAACCTAGGAAAACCCCCAAGTTTTCACTTTGGGCAATATCAACAGGTCCTGACGAAGACTCTTCCCCTTATGAACCAGTCATTCAGGTAAAAGGCATGAATGAGCCCTTGATTAATTACGTCAGCTTCTACCGGAGCCAGGCGTTTGAGGAAGACAACTCTGGTGACTGTAAACCGTGCAGAGAGAAGTTTGCTTTGTCATGGCTTTTGCCTGTATCTCCAGAGAAAAAAGCAGATGGATAAGGAGCAAATTTGGATGCCAAAGCAATACTGTAAAATGAAAAAAAAATCAAGTAGGACAGTTAATGTACTACTATAATCATGTGTTCATTACTCCTAGCAACAGAAAGGAGATCATTTCATCTCTTTGTGCCTTCCTAATTAAAAAAGGAAAGGGGAAAATGATGAAGCAGATAGAGCAGATTTTCCCAGTGACTGGTGGGACTCATTGCGCCGCTGTTCCACTTTACGCAGCCTGGAAAAAGAAAGCCAATCTGCAAAGGGGGGAAGGAGAGGCAGCTGCCAAAGAAATCAGTTGAGAGCTCTCGGCTGTACCATCAAACTTGTTGTGGAGATGAAGAGGAGGCGACTGGACCACCCACAGCAACAGATGGAGTGTTGTGCCTCTGGTATTTGGCATCCTGCCTCCCTGGAAATGCCTGCTTCTGCTGTCGTTTCTGGAAGTGTTTAGAGAGATGAGGAGCTTGTTCCTACCGATGGGATCGGAAAAAGACATATCCTTCTCACAGATGAGTTGTAGATATGCGGTGTTTTCAGACTGGATGTCCTTCACCGCCTGAGCCGTTCACCGGCCGAAGTTTTGGAGAAGAAGGAACAGCCGTTCCCTCTCCTGAGTACGCCTGGGCTAAGGGCTTGCAGTCCTTGCTGTAGCACTCCAGGTATCCAATACCAATGAAAAGTACTCACTGATACTTCCCGCTCCTCTGCCACCATTTCGTAGTCTCTTTCCCCACCTTCCTCCGGCAGCAGCTCCATTAGGCAAGGAAGAAGATCGCTCCAGAAGGACACGTCCAATGAGCAGCTGATAAATGCCAATTGCTATTTAAAACCTGTTTGGTTTTGAGATGTATCATCAGCTCTGGGAAGTTTATTTTCACATTTTCTTTGTTTTGAAAAAGAGACCGTCCATCTGACAAAGGTATTTGACACTAATATTCACGATCTTCCCTACCCAGAATGAGAAAACACCACCTCCAGGTTTGTGACTCCGTATGATACAACTTGTCATCTTTTGAAGAAATAAACAACCTGGCCTCTGCAACAAGGCGAGGGCTCTTGTTTACTGCAAGGGACCAAGAGAGGGGAGAGGCTGCAGCGCCTCGGCACCGCAGGCTCCAGGATGCCCGGTACCCAGCGGGATGTCCCACGGAGCACCAAGAGGTCCATACGCAGAGCTCCTGCCCGCCGGCTGTCTCTGCCGGCAAACCGGTGAAGCCCTTGCCAGCGCATTAGGGAGAGGTGGATCGTCTGTCCTTCTTTCTTTTATTGTCAATAAGAAGAATATAAAGCACAAGTGGATGTCCCATCTCCAGAAACGTGGATCACGTTGAGAAACAACCTCTGTGTCTGTCAGAGGTACCTGGGGAGACCAGGTCCTGCTGCTGTTTTCTCACAGCTCTACATCCCGGATGCTTCCGGAGTACTAAAGATGAAGAGTTCTGGACCAATATGGGCAAAAGAGAAGAAAAGAGCGCATAAAACCCAGGTGACACCACTGCTGGGAAAAACAGAGTATGGGCACCCGTTCCTGCTGGGAATGGTTTCCTTCACCATGAGCAGAGCCGAAGTAGGCAGGACCAAAGAATAACTCATTTCCCCCTCCTCTGCAGCGAGATGGTCCCTGAAGGTAAAAAAATAGTTGCCAAGTTTCTTGACATCAGACTGACAGTCATGTCTTTGCTTGCCGCCTTGCAACATCGCCAGTCAAGGCTCTTCGGTATCTGAGGGAGAGCCAGTGGTCTGCCCTGAGCTGAACAAGTTTCCATTTATTCTGGTTGTGTTCAAATTTTGGAGCCCTTTTTGAGCCGACAATGGCTTTGACATGGAAAAGTTTGACTTCTTTTGAAATGTACGATTATAAAACATTTTTTTTTCAAATAAAGCAACAGCAGCTAAGTATAAACTCATACTACCTACAGAAGTTGAGGAATAAAAGTATGTATGTCAACTGCTGCCCGATTTTCTTCAAAGCACAATAAGCTGTATGATTCCCAAATGGACAGCTTAGCCATCTGATCCAACCATAGTGATTTTACCAAAGAAATGGAGGACAAGGTGGACAGAGAGGAATTCATCTGAAACTACCTGATAATCCAGCATTTTTTATGTCTACTTATGGAGCAGTTGGCAGCAAGGAGTTTAGACCAGAAAGTGATAGTTTTTTCAAACGGAGAGGGGAGTAACATGTAGAAAAGGTGCAAAAGGAGGAGCTCCGACTGATGGAGCTAGAAAAAGCTCATTGTCCTGTGTGTCCTTCTGCTTCTTTGTTATGGTCTTCCTCCTCTTCTCTCTCCTCTCTCCTCTCCCCTCTCCTCTCCTTTTCTCACGTTTAGCACTTTTTTCTTCTTCTCCCTGCAGGGTCACTGCACGTCTCTGTCTCTGGCAGAGCAAGCAAGCCATTCCGCAGATGTGCTCAGTTAGGAACGGCCTTCACCCAGTTGTGCTGCAAAATTTCATCTTCCTCTCTGCCTCATAACCAGCAGAGAGGTGAGTAGCTGTTAGCTAAATACTCTGGATAAGAGGGCTGCATGTTTGCCTACTTTTGGTCATTAAACTGCTCTTTTCCTCTTGCAAATCACAGCACAGTTCAACCACCAGATTTGTAAATACGATCAGTTTTTAATGTCTAACTGTTAAATTATTTGCAGGCGTAACTCTCTGGGATGGAGGATCCCTTCCTTGGAGGGAAGATCATCATCACAGAAATAATTTCATTAAGTTGTAAAGATGAAAAATCTGCCCCCAATCTCTTTGGTCTAGAGCACAGGAAAGAGGTTCGTAATTATTGACTCAATATTGCCAAGTTATGGTTCTGTTGTACATTGAATCATCAAGTCATGGAACGGTTTGGGTGGGAAGGGACCGTTCAAGGCCATCTACTCCAACCCCCTGCCATGGGCAGGGACCCCTCCCACCAGACCAGGTTGCTCACAGCCCCATCCAACCTGGCCTTCAACACTTCCAGGGATGGGGCATCGACCACCTCTCTGGGCAACCTCTGCCACTGCCTCACCACCCTCAGCATAAACAATTCCTTCCTTAGACCTAGTCTGAATCTCCCCTCTTTTACGTGATGATGGCAGGACTAACACCAGATGTGGTTCTGCTCTGTGTGATATTCACCTTGCGTGAAAGCTTCCTGCACATCTCCCCCGACACCTGCAAGCGAGTCCTGCGGGACGTGAGTTGGGGTAGAGCCGGCGGAGGTGGATCTGACGGGCATGGGCATGGGGTGGCTGGCTCCGTGGGTGGGTGAGGAGTGTGCCGAGCCTGCTGCTTGCGCCTGCACGGGAGACATGAGACACAGTTTCCAAATTTTTAACTTTTTTTTGAGTCAATGTCTAAAAATAATTCAGCAAAAAAAAAAAAAGAGAAATGCATAAAGAAAGACGCTTCACCAAAACACTCTCAATTTGAGTAATGTGATGCATGATCGGTAGATGTTGTGGGAGGACCCCACGGTGGTGGCACGCCGGGCGCGGCGCATCACGCGTCGGGTCGCAGCGCCAAGCTTGGGCTGCACGTGCTACTCACAGCCGTGCTGCCTCCGGCGCAGCACCTGACCTACGGCCTCCGTGCCACATGCTCACTGTGTCACCGGTCAAACGCCAGGCTGGTAAAAACCCCAGGAAGGCATGGGGTGACCGTCCCAGCCGTGTGCTCCAGAAGGACCCGTCAACCACCTGGCATCTGCTCATCCTTCCCACAGGCAGCAGTGAGGAAACTCCCAGAGCTCCGCGGTGCCACTGAGGCTCTGCTGAAGGTCCATCCCCTTTTTGAATTTATTTTTATGTATTTTATACATTTTTATATATTACTAAAAGTGATTTTTAAAATTTTTGTTTTACATTTTCTTCCAGTCAAATCCACCCCGTCTCTTTTGTGCTGCTCCAAGAGCCTCGCGAGCAGCTTCGCATCGCGGGTGCCGGTGCCTTCCTCGATACGGTTTCTGGTGCTCCCCTACAGCTCTTC